GGGCCATGCTTTTCGTGTTTGTGCGCTGCTCCTGCTTTTCGTGTTTGTCCACAGGGGCCATGCTTTTCGTGTTTGTGCACAGGGGCCATGCTTTTCGCGTTTGTGCGCAGGGGCCATGCTTTTCGTGTTTGTGCGCTGCTCCTGCTTTTCGCGTTTGTGCGGTGGTGGCATGCCCATATGTGTTGGATGCCTTATTTCTTGTGATGTCTTGTCACTTTTTTTTTTGTGTGGAGTCTGTGGACCATGCTTTTCGTGCTTGTGCGCTGCTCCTGCTTTGGATGCCGGTCGTTGATGGTTGCTGGTGATGTCTTGCTTCCAGTTGCTGCTGAAGAATGATCATGCGTAGCACACACCTCCTTGTGTTCCATGTGCAGCATTCCGTGGAGCAATGATGGGTACTAGGAATAGGCCACCCAGTACACCGCCTTGTTGTCCCCTAATCGGTACGCCAGCTTGTTTTTTTGTTCATCTGGACTACACATCTCATCTCTAGGTGTGTGTCCATGTGGCCCTTGTGCAGGAGCCCGACAAGTCTTCTTTGTAGTGTTCCACTTTGGGCCTTTTGGCAGATGTTACGGAGGACCATCTTATTATTGCCTCCCCCCCTAGTAGGAGTCACCGGTTTTCTCATTAAAAAATAATAATAATAATAAAAAAATTGCCTCCTTATCTGTTTGCTATTCAACGACATCTTTGTCCATTGGAACTTGGCTGTGTTACGGAGACTGCTGGAGTGAGTTTATTGATGCTGAGGAGCAAGGCAAGGCTTAAAATAATAATAATAATAAAAAAAAAAAAAAAAAAAATCTACAAGAGACTTCAAAGTTCAATATTGACAATATCTCATGCAATTCAACAGCAATTGTGATTAGCGCTTTGTCATTTCTGCCCTGCACCTGTATGTCAATGCTGGTTCATGGAATTGCCATGTATGCTTGATTTCAGTTTCTTCTTGACAGCCTGTTTGCAATAATAATTGAATAAATTAATACTACTAATAATAATAATATAATTAATAATAAAATTTATGAAAATAAATAAGATAATAACTGAGTACGGACGCCGCCCGGCCGGGCCTGCCGGGCCGGGCCTGCCGGGCCGGGCCTGCCGGGCAGGTCGCCTGGGCAAACCGGGCGGGCCAAAAAACAGCCCAGAATTTTTTTATTTTTTTTTTTGAGGGCGGGGTCGTGCTGTGCTCGGCGAGGGGACCCCGAATCTGCAATAAAATTTTAGTTTGGGTGTGGGGGGGG